CTCGGGCATCATGCTGCCGAGGAGCACGACGCAGGCGAGCAGACTGCGTAGGCGTGGTCGCGAGGGCCATGTGGCCGAGTAGCACGACGCAGGCGGGCAGGACGCGCGGACGTGGTCTCGGGCACCATGCGATCGAGTAGCACAACACAGGCGGACATGCCGCATCGAGGTGGATCTCGGCAGTGTGCGGTCGAGGTGCTCGGCGGAGGCAGGCTGCGACCGAGGAGCTCTCGGGCAGGCTGTGGCCGAGGTGCTCGGCGCAGGCTGTGGCCGAGGTGCTCGGCGCAGGCTGTGGCCGAGGAGCTACTTAGGCGGGCAGGTCACGTAAAGGTCTCGGACCAGCTGTGGCCGAGGAGCCGAGGCAGCGGGTTGCACCGTCAGCCGAGCAGCTGAGGCGGGCTGCCGCGCATGGGGCCGAGGGGTAGAGGCGGCGGGCTGCGCCGTCAACCGAGCAGCTGAGGCGGGCGGTCGCTCATGGGGCCGAGGAGTAGAGGCGGCGAGCTGCGCCGTCAGCCGAGCAGCTGAGGCGGGCGGCCGCGCATGGGGCCGAGGAGATGGCCTCGGGCGTTATGCGGCCGAGGAGGTGGCCTTAGGCATTATGCAGCCGAGGAGCACGACGCAGGCGGGCTGGCCACGCAGGCGTGGTCTCGGGCATTACGCGACCGAGGAGCACGACGCAGGTGGGCAGACTGCGCAGGAGTGGTCGCGATGGTCATGCGGCCGAGGAATGAAACTCAGGTGGGCAAGCTGACCCGAGGTTGGCTCGGCAGTCTGTGGCCGAGGAGCTCGGCGCAGGCGAGCTACGACCGAGGGATGCAACTCAGGTGGGCAGGCCGACCCGAGGTTGGCTCGGCAGTCTTTGGCCGAGGAGCTCGGTGCAGGCGAGCTGCGGCCGAGGGATGCAACTCAGGTGGGCAGGCCGACCCGAGGTTGGCTCGGCAATCTTTGGCCGAGGAGCTCGGTGCAGGCGAGCTACGACCGAGCCGTGTAGATTCGGAAGATTTCATGCCACGAGCCGAGAGGGGGTCAGGTAGATACTGGACCTTGGCTCGAAAAAGGCTGAAGCAGGGCTTGGATTTCCTTTCATGTGGACTACATGGGGTAGCCACCGCGGGTGCTTGACCTCCGTCACGGATCTCGCGGTCGGGGGTCGTCCCTTCTCCTCACGGTCGCACATGCTTCCGCGGCGATGTACCGGTTAGCGCACTGGAGCATCTCTAGTACCGTGGTGGGAGGTTGCTCCGCGAGGGACCAGAGGAATCTGGACGGTCATAGGCCGATCATGAATGCCTGCACTAACAGAGAGGGGTGAGCGTCCGGCAGGCCCCGGATTTGCGTGGCAAAGCGATCCACAAAGTGAGAGAGGGGCTCGTCCTCCCTTTGTTTGAGTCCGAGGAGCAACGCCACAGACGGCTTTGGTCGAGCATAGGCCAGGAAGTTGAGCTCGAAGTCTCGGGCGAGCTGGTCAAAGGAGGTGATCGTCCCGGCCTTCAGCCTGATGTACCATGCGCGAGCCTGCCCCCTCAAAGTTATCGGGAACGCCCTGCACATCAAGGCGTCAGAAGTCCCATATAGCGTCGTTTGGGCGCGAAAGGCGGCTATGTGGTCCGCAGGGTCAGCGGTGCCATCGTAGTCGTCCAGCGAAGGGAGCCGAAAATGCGGTGGAATCACTTGATCTTGTATCTCGGGCGCAAACGAGGACCCTTGGTGTCTGTCCGCCCCGAGCTCTCCATTTGCCCTGCGAACCTCCTGTTGTACTTCGTCGAGACGTTGACTAACAAGGCGCAATTGGGCTCGCAGGTCGTTCGTCGAGTCCGCAGACAGCGCCTCGGGTTCCGGGTGAGTCACCGCATTTTTCGTCCCTCGGCTCCCGGGTTGGGTCGATCCGTTCCGAGGCGAAGAGGCGAGCTCGGGAAGTGGTGCATGAGTCCGAGCGGGGGCCCTCTGCTGTTGCAAAGGCCGGGTCATATGCGGGGGCGTCGGTTGGGAGATGAGCGGGACGATAGTTTGCACCACGCCCGTCAAAGCTCGGACTTGGTGAGCGAGGTCGTGAAAGGCCTCGGGCGATACTGGCGACGGGCCGACGGGGGCGTCGGGTGGCGATAAACCCGGGTCGTTGAACAATCGCCAGTAGCGTTTCGATGTTGCGGCGGGGCGTTCGCCTCAGGATTCATCACGCAAGGGATGTTCTCTCGGGGTGCTGATTGCGGGCAATTCGGCAGCCGCGGGTTCGTCAGAGTGGATCTGCTGATCACTCGACATTCGGACGACCCTCCTTCTAGCGCCAATCTGTTATGGTAAATAACTTTTTTAGCCGTGGCCTCGGGGCCGACGCGGCTTGTTCGGGAGTCCGAATGGCGGGGATCCTGCGCGGTGTGCCTTGGGTCCTCCTGGCGGTCGACCACGGTGATCCGGATGTTCCGTCAGGGAGGAGCTCTACAGCAGCGTCAGGGAGGAGGCGACCTCGTCTCGTACCTGCACACAGGTCGAGTCGGAAGCTCGGCCCGACCCCTCCGACGATCAAGTCAGTGATGTGGAGAGGATGGTGGGAGGTGGGATCTTCTGTCTCCGTCCCCCCATTCGTTTAGAACTCTGGGGTATTTGTAGTTGGGTTTGATGTGCTCGCTTGCAGGGGCAGGGCCATACCTCTGATGGCGTCTGACATTACCGCTGGGGTTGCGTGGAGAACCGGGCTGCTGTAGGGTATGGGCACGCCTCGGTCAACGTGCTCCTTTGCCTCGATTGAGCGCATGGAGTCAAATGCTGAGGTTGTTGGTTGAGAGCTAGTGATGTGGGCGCGCATCAAGTCGGCATTAATGCTTGCTTCCTCAGGCAGTGCGTCCACCTGGCGTGACTGACGTCGTGGCATCTGTTGCCATTTGTACCCTTATCAATCCCCATGCATAAAGGTGAGGTGTTTCCTTTTGTCCCTATTCCTCTGCTTTACTTCACAAAGAAAGATGAGCAGCGTCGAGCTTCTCTGCCACCTGAAGTCTCAGCACTGCATCGGAAGGCTCTAACTGTGCATGAGAAGTCCAACGAGTTCAACAATGGTGCTTTTCGCTTGGGATTTGTCTGGGGAAGCTCCTAATCGTTGCGACCATTCATTGCCCATGGTGTTCATCCGGTTGCTTGTAGGGATGCTGATGATTCAAGGGAACTTCTTCGTCCATGCTCGTGACGAGCACCAGGTGTTTGTCCAATTGCTCGTGAACGACCATCCCTTACCCGCGCTAGGTTGTTGTTCCAAAGCTGGTCACATCGAGGAGAGATGGTGTGCCGTGGACATGGATCAGCGGATTCGAGTTCGGATCCATCACGAACCCGACCCGATAGGGCTCCCGCTTCTCTGCGCACGTTACCATCGCCCGCCACGGAGATTTTAACCGCGCCGGAGATAGAAAAGCTTACGATCCGATCGGGAGAAAGTAAGAAAATGACGATAAAAATGAAGCGAGTGAGAAGGATTGCTTCCGGTCAAACCCCATGGCGCCAACCCCCTCCCCGAACCCTAACCCTTACCCTAATTAGCTTCCTTTGGCTATTTGGCGCCTCGCAAGTCGATGGAGCGGGGGTCTGGCGGGAACGACGTGGAGCTGCTGTGCAAGACGCTCCAGTTCGAGCACAAGCTGTTCTATTTCGATCTGAAGGAGAACCCGCGGGGGAGGTACCTCAAGATCTCCGAGAAGACCTCCGCTACCAGATCCACCATCATCGTCCCCGTCGGCGGCATCGTTTGGTTCGTCGACCTGTTCAATTACTACGTCAATACCGACGAGTGCGACGCCTTCAGCAAGGAGCTGAAGCTCGACACCAAGGTGAAAGAAAAATTAAGAAAAAAGAGGGGGGGAAATGATCTTGGGAGGTTTTGGTATGTGTGACAAGTTCTGTGTTGTGCGGTTGTTGTTGGAGTTTTGTGCAGGTGTTCTACTTTGACGTCGGTGAGAACAGAAGGGGGCGCTTTTTGAAGGTATAATGCCTTGTTGCTGCTTTTGTCTCTGGACTTACTTTTGCCCCTTTTTTTCCCTCTCATTTATCTGAAATGTTAATTATTTGATTTTTGCTCCATTGATTCGTACACTTTATGAAGTGTATAACATGACAATTATCTTATTTTTTCGTTCGTATGCTTGACATCAAGTGAATCAAGATTATAAATAACTGTTGGCTTACTACTGGCAGTACCACAGGTCTTATGTACATGAAAGTATTCCTGAGAACAGAAATGGCATTTTTCTTCATCCTCGATTAGAGCTCAATGACATGAAAAGATTCATATCATTGATCCCTAGGACGCTTTGGTGCCCCATGCAATGGTTGTCTCCAGCAATTTTCAGCACAGATATAATATTCCAACATGTTTTGTTCGACTTTCTTGTTGTTTATCTTCATGAAGCTTATATCCAAATTGAGGAAAAAGTAATTGTTCAGCTTTTTCTATAACTGTTTTCAGGGTTTCTGAAGGATGTCTTTCTGAGTTTTGTTTCATGTATTCAGGGCATGAGAGGACTTCTTTTTTGTGTACAAGTTGGTATGTAGATATATTAGCTTTTAATCTTCCTTTTATTATTTTATACTGACTTTTTGGTGTTTTATGCCAAGAAGTGACTTTGTGTGATTTCTTGCTACAAAATAAATTTATCAAACTTTATCACATAATATGAACTTTATGTTTCAGTATAAAACTTGTCACGAATGACAAAGATTTCCATGTTTTGTTTGACTTTCTTGTTGTTTATCTTCATGTGGCTTATATCCAAATTGAGGAAAAAGTAATTGTTCAGCTTTTTCTATCACTGTTTTCAGGGTTTCTGAAGGATGTCTGTTTCTGAATTTTGTTTCATGTATTAAGGGCATGAGAGGACTTCTTTTTTTTGTACAAGTTGGTATGTAGATTTATTAGCTATTAATCTTCCTTTTATCTTGATATATATATATATCTACATATCAATGGGATTTGGATATCCCTCCATTAGTTTACTATTTTTCTTGATGGTATCGTAAGATGCAAGATATTCACTGAAGAGCATGTAATTAAGTATGAATAAACTTAGTTTCTTTGACATGCTATGCTGATGAAGGGTTGTTGATCCTTAGGTATCTGAAGCATCTGTCAGCAGAAACCGTAGCACGATTATTGTTCCTGCAGGAAGCTCTGGTGAAGAGGGATGGACTGCATTCAGGAATATTTTACATGAGATCAACGAAGAAGCGTCAAGGCTTTACATTGTATCCAATCAGGTAATTAGGTGAACTCTGCCTTTTCAGCTGATTTTGTTTGTATGCTGTCTGTAATCAGTTTCATACTTGCTTCAACTTAATGAAAACCAGCAACATATGGAACCCTCCGAGCACCTTCCAGGGCTTTCAGATGATGTTGGTGCTGGATTTATCTCAGGTCACACTTCCCAACCCGTTTCAGGATCAGACTTAAATGTTGATAGTTTGGTTGAACTGCATCCTCAGGATGAGATCGGAAGCTTGAGGATGTCAAAAGTAATTAGAGCAGATCAAAAGAGATTCTTTTTTGATTTGGGTAGCAATAACAGGGGTCATTACCTGAGGATATCTGAGGTATTATCATCCAACAATACTTGTATAAAATGATTCCTTCTCTAGTATGGGGTAATATCCAGATATTCTTATTATTTCTGTTTTTTTTAACCATTAGGTGTCTGGATCAGATCGCTCATCAATAATCCTTCCCTTGTCTGGCTTGAAACATTTTCATGACACGATTGGTCATTTTGTGGAGATAACCAAGGATAGACTTGGGGGAATACCAGCTGTGAATGTGCGAACATTGGAGCCTGTTCAGAGATGATTAGGTGTGCATGTGGTTGGTTTACTTTTACTTACTAGTTCTATCTTTGCTAGCTGTTGTCTGAGTCTCTGTGTGGAGCACCGGTTACCGTGTGATTTTTCTTTCTTCCAGTCCAAGGTGATAATTATCACATTTTGCTATATAATGAATCGGAAGTCAGAGAGTTTTTTGGCAATCTTTGTAATCATGAAGGAACAGAGAAGTGAGACATAATATGTCGTGACTTGCTCTTCTAGTGGTTAAACATTTTGAATGTGGATTACTCTTGGGATTTCATCTTCATTTATGTTTTTACACGTTTGTTTTAGAAAAGTCCTTTTTGTACTCTTCCGATGGCTAAACACAAGATTATTGGTTTCTTTTTTATTAGAAAGGTGAGTAGCAGCAAGAGTTATATGAGATCTGAGAAGAGTCAATGTACATAAGAGATTGTTTCCTGGGACAACAATCCCACCTGATCTTGTGGAAAATACAAATATACAATCAGACATATATTTTTGAGTGAAAACAAGGTATTCTTCCAAGAATCATCAGACATAAAACATCTAGAATGGAAATATTCTGTGTGCAACTTCTACAAGTATGATTGGAGAAATTGGAAACTAAATCCTTGTTCTTCTATCTTCTGTTATGAATTTCTCTTTCTGTACTAATGAAAAGGGATTAACTCTGTTGTTGGGCGATTGTGATGCAAGGCAGCTCTCTCAGAAAATGATTCTTATTTTTGCTCTCTCATTCTTGTTTGGTAGTGTTAATTGCAATTCTGGATGTTTAGCCTCATGGAACGACCTGTATCATCAAGGCTGATGCATGGAAAAGATGGTGACACAGAAAGGTGATATCATCTTATAATTCGGAATGAGGACACACTGATGGTTTTGGCCGAGCTTATCGGCTTCCAAGATTATCATCTGATGCAAACATCCAACTCCCAGAGTGTTTTGATTGGCAGCTACCATCACATGATTCTGTTTGCAGTGTTGTTCAATCAGAGAAAAGTTATAATCTGAAGCTCATCCTTAAGGTACATTCTTTTTGGTCTCTGATATAAAGTTGCAGCAGTATATCCATATAGTCTCTTAGCAGGATAATGATTTGATCGATCTGTGATTTTACATTCATCACATCCAAGTCATTCATTGTTATCCGTTACTAAATAGTCTGCTGATGCATCACATGACCAACTTGTTTAATTGAAGACTCAGCAGGTGATGTAGATCAATCTACAACATGATCATTGATGATGCGTGATATCAAGTGGCGCTCGTCACTGTCGCTTCAATCGATCAAGATAGTGAGTGCTGCCAATTATAATCAAAGGTTAATTTTCTTGACGTCACTCACAGTCTTTCTGATTCCTTCAAATCTTCTGCTGGTTGTATGAAATGTTTTCATTACTCTAGTCTCGATTACTTGTTCTATTAACAGCAGGAATAGAGTTCACAAGAGTAGTAGTAACCCAGACAGTACAACCTTTTCTTCATTAGGAGTTCTAAGATGGAACATACTAGGGAGCTACATAACACTTGGCACAAATTATAAAAGATATCTCTTTAGATCAAGCCTCCTTTATACACCATCTTCTTGTGGAATCATCTGAATTGCTTGCAAATATTCTTCCTTTTCTTCTTTCTTGGGATGAGAACCAGTCCCCCCATCTATATGGTTTCGGATAAGGATGTGGGTACATTATTTAAGGTGTTCTTATTGTAGCATCTCTGGATAACCATCCAAAAAGCACCAGAAAGATGATTGATTCATTATATTCTACTCCAGAAGACATGACATGTACAAGCTAAGTTTGAACTAGTTCAGCCAGTACAATTCTCCAAGGATCCATCAAATGGCATCTGTCCTTGACCCCATTCAGAATCCCTGGCCTACACCTTCAGCCACAGACTTCCCCACACACCCGCACACTAAGAAAAGAAGAAAGAGTTACTAGCGGGATGTGATGTTATCGTGGTGTGTAAGCAGTGCAAGTTCAGCGCAAGCTCAAGTGAGGGTTGGACATCAGTTGTTGATCGACGAAAGGTTGTTGAGCTGTGAAGTTGAACTTGTTTGCTACACTGGTTGCAGTTCTTGATCCTGTAGCTCTCTTTCCGGTGTGTGAGACTTCACTGCCGTCCTCGAAGCAGCCATTTGCCGTCCACCGCCGCTTCGGATTGCTGTCCGTCATCGGAGCAGGGGACTCTGCTTGGAAGAGATGATGCACTGCCAAACCGTCGCTGTTGCCGTCGAAGCCTTGGTGGGAGAACGGATGCGCGATGGAGCTGTTCTCCGAGATGAGACCGAGCACGTCGGCCGGGCGTTCGAGCAGTCGCGAGAGCGCGGAGAAGTCTGCGGCGTCGAGGAGCTCGGACAAGGAGTAGGATTTCGGCAGCTTGGCGGTGTCGTGCTGTTGTGTGGCGCTCGGTGGGGTTGGCATGGCGACATCCTCTACGCCCGAGTCGTCTTTCTCTGCGTCCATCGATGGCTGGTGGTGGCTCTTCTTGTAGATCCGGCATAGAACCCAGTCATCCAGCTGAAACGACGTGCCATCAGATGGAGATCAAACAGGTTCTGGAACAGGGAGGTGTTCCACAGCTCAGAATTCGTACCCTCATGGAGCAGTCTCTGAGCTTGATTGGCCTATAGCTGTTCTTGTTGTGGGCATCGGCGAGGCGGTACTCGTGCATGATCCAGTCGGTCTTGACGCCCCTGGGAGGCCTCCCCTGGTAGAACACGAGGGCCTTCTTCACCCCAATGCTCTCGCTGCCCTTGCTCGCCATCACGGGCTTGTCGGTGCCGGTCGCCTTCCAGTATCCCGACGCCGCCGCCCGGTTCGGGCGGACGCCGTTGGGGTACTTGCGGTCCCTGGGGCTGAAGAAGTACCACTCTCGGTCGCCGAACGTTGCCTTGGCTGTCTCATGCAAGCACAGATAGATATCAGTCACCACGTCAACAACACCATGCAGTTGTAACGCCGGAGAAGTGGAGATGGAAGAGGTGGCAGTGCCGACCAGGGAGGTCCCATGGATCGAACTTGTAGATGTCGACCTCCGCTATGATCGATACCGGGCACGGCACCGCCGCCGCTCGGTTCCTCAGGTAGTGAAGGATGAGCTCCTCGTCGGTGGGGTGGAACCTGAAGCCCGGCGGAAGCGACACCGCCGGATTCGTCATTGGTAACTTAGCTCAGCTACTAAGTTCGACTTGGAAGCCGAGAGAGATAGGGGAGAGAGGATTGGAATTTTCGGGAGAGGAGGCGGTGGGCGTGGTTATACCGTGGTGGGTTTTTGTCCTTTAGCGGGGAGGAGAAGAAGGAGCCAGTGGACATGAATGGCATTACTCGTTTTGTCGTGGGCAACGTGGGAACGGAGCCTCGGAAAGGGTTCGTCGATGATTTGACACGATTGGTATTCATCTCGACCGTCGGATGTGGACAACTCTCTGATTGCTTCGGACGGTTAGGACCGTCGGATGGACTAGTGTCGCCGTCCTGCGGTCTGTAGCGATGATTGATGGGATGGTTCTGATCCGACGGCCGGAAGGTCTTCTGTTGACTTTTGCCTTAAACGACGAGGGATGTCGCTGTCCGCATAAAGGTGCCGCTGCGTGGAATCCCGAAACTACCCTCCTCTTCTCATGTATTTTACGCGGTATCTTGGCGAAGTTTTGTCATATATGATGAGCAGGAACAGGGAACACCGTCGGAGACAAACGAGCATCCAACGCGTGTCCTCAGTCGCTTGCTTCAAAACAGCAAAAGTACATGTAGCCCTCAATTATTCATCGGAGTAGTGAGCAATCACTGTGGACTTTCTATCACGTAGGATGGTCCATTGGATTAGTGCTTGCGCGTAGCTTTGGGATGCTAATTATGGAGGGAAGGTGGGGGATGTGGAAAGCCACAACCCAACTTTTAAGACAAGAACGAGAGGGAGAAGGAGAGAGGAATGCTGATCAAAAGCGGGTAGAGGTATCAACAAAGATGAGGTATATGAGGAGGTTGTCACCCTCATCTCCACACTTGGAAGGTTACATGTCATGGAAGGATTGGTGGCGGCTACTGATGGAGTTAGATATGGCACAGTCGATGGGTTTATGTGGAATTGGAAGGAGGGAGAGGGGTCTACATTTGGAGATAGGGATGACATGACTTGAGGGAATGGAACTCTCTCAGCGAGTCCTGGGAAGACCCACACACTCGAAAAGAAGACGATAAGGCCTACAGAAAGGGTTGAAAGCAGCATCCAATCCTCCAGATTATTCTGCTACAGGTCCAGTGAGGGGAAGACAAGTTAAGATGATAGAGATAACTTATTTTCCTTCTTGGAAAAACACACTTTTGCTACTTCTGATGAGCTTTGCAGAAGTATACTCTTAAAGCTGATTCGTTCTTGTAATAAATGTGCAGATTGCTTCGTGTTCTTCCTTGTGATATGCACCGAACATCTCATAAATATATGTGAAATAGTTCAATATCATTTCAAGCCTCACCAAGACAAGATTCGGATGGCTGATGATCAAGTTTACACCAGCTTTCCATTAAGATCAGTCACCAGAAGCATCATCCGCAAATGCCTCCTCGGGAGCTTGACAACGAAACATGTAACTCTCAGCTGTTTCGTAATGACAAAGAATTCAGCTGCTTCTTCATCTGGCATGTTGCAGAACCTTCCAAGATATCAATGTCACCCCAGCATTTCTCGCTTCAATAAAAATCCTGGGGCTCAGTCACATTACTGCTTGATTTATCTGGGAAATATCATATCTTTCCGTCCCTTTTCATCTCTATTCCTGTCGTCTTTAGTATCAGAAAACATGAACTTGATGCCTGAGGCATTTGATGGTCAAACCGAGGGAAAACATATCATATATATTGCCTGGGTTTTGCTGACAGTGCACCACCATTACAATGTGCATCTCTTGTCAGTTCTTGCATATGCTTAATTGTTATTTCAATGGTGGGGCATTCATATTGATTGATGTTAGTGTCCTAACTAGAAAGTTTGGATGTGTATCTTCTAAACTTCATATTGTTACCATCCAAAAGCTAGACATTATGATGTAAAGCCAGAAACATTGGAGGTGATGCAGTTGAATCAAGATTGTTTTAGTGGGTTCTCCATATACTGGAGCTTGTGTTCTTGATGTTGTTATTTTATGCCTACCATCAGTGGTTTCAAGATGAATCCCCCCCCCAAGTCACTTCTGATACAGTAAAAGTAGTCTCTCTTTGGAATTATCATTAATGGATTCTTCTTCCTCCAAGCAACTCACACTCTGGCATCCCAATTGGTGATGGAACTGTAGATGTTGGATTGGGTCTAATTCCCCCCACACATGCTCCTATTGGGTATACCAATTCTGGCTTGCTCAAGAAAACATGTCCACAAGCCTTAGCCATTAATCTCTGTCTGCCATTAGCTTAAGACACCAACTCATTTCTTTTCAAACTCACTGTGGATGTATGTTTCCAAATAATGTTTTATTAGGATGACTTTGGAGTGTTTAATCCAAAAAAAGGAAAAAGACAGTGCATTTAGAATCTGATTAGGGTTCTAGAATTATACATTAAAAAGCCAGAAGAGAAAACTCCTGCAAGTCAAAGATTACAACTTGTAAAGACAAAAATCTTGTTCAGAGTAGACAAACAAACTTTCTGACTTAGAAGCCATTAGCTAGAAAATACAGCCACACCTAACCTTAGGCTTGAAAGAAGACAACCTCTCAGAAATCTAGACACCACCATGAGGAATGACCCCAGTCAAAGAAAGGAAACAGTCACCTTTACCATTTATCCTCATTGACCTCACTTCATCGGAGCTCAATCACCTTGCAGTACAGCTGAAGTAGCAATGAGCATAGCTGTCAGAGCCTCATAAGTCGTAGTTGAAGCTGAATTAATAGCATTGCATTGATTTGCATTGGTCGAGGCTGACCTTAGTGGATTGGGACGACCATGGATTCCGAGTTGCAAGCTCCACAAGTGATAAGTTGTGCGTGGGGGAAGTCAAAGGCTGCAGAAGTCGACTTCTAAGCAGCCAAAAGCAGCAGAACAAACGAGGAGCTCAGCAATGAAAGCTTTTGGAACTCTTGTTGGACTTCCAATCTGAAAGGATCTTAAAGGAAAGAACTCAAGAACTTGGATGTATCATATAAAACAGCACTACAGGAAAGAAGAAAGTATTATTTCTTGTCAGTGGTGTTTTTTTTCTTTATTCCTTTTATGAATTGCTCTTTCATGAATTCAAACATAAGACCAATCAATGAACATCATTAGTAACATCCAATAACAAAGCTGTAATGCAAACTGTAATATCCCAATCCATTAGACATGAGAGAAGATTTCAGTAGACTTAGGGTTAAATGCACCTACTATCATTAACTCGGAGTAAGCATCTCAAATCAGTAGTTCAGACTCGACCAATTGATAGGTCAGTTATCCTATCAGACCAGATAATGACACATAATATAAGGGGTTAGGTTTATAATGTAACAATTCTCGACTTTCTTAAAGGAAGAAAAGAAAAAACAAGACCTTCCTAATAAAGCTTGGAACATAAAGATTGTGGCCATCCTTACATATCATTGACACAAACCATGGAAATAAAAGGTATAAGTTTCTCGATTATAGTACATACCATTAACAAGAAAAACTAATTGACATTTTTATTTTCAAAGGCCAATTAATGATTCAGTTTTTCAAAACCAATTAGTGATTTAGTTAATCTTTTCTAAAATCAAATTGCTCATTATATTTAACGATTAGATAATCATCAATCAGTCATTTAATCCATATGAGAGCTTAAAATTCTACAAAATAAATGATGGGATAGCCCCCAATTTGTTCTTTAAACTGCAGGACAACCTATACTCAGAAAGACTAAAGTTAATGATACCTCTCATGTTCTTTGGACACTCAAAAGTGGGCAGCCTACTTCCTTTGCTTTGACTTTTGTAGTTAGTGCAAATTGATGTGCATTCTAACCCAGCTTGGCACAGATGCCTGTTCCTCCTATGGTGGAAATATGTCTTTATCCCTCGGGCAATCCATGCTCCTAAAAGAGACTGTAAAATTGGCCACTACCATCGATCATGCATAGCATTGGACACTGCCTTGACCACAGCTTGCAATTAGTCTCAAAGTCAGTGACTTGATATGGTAAAGATAGATTTCAACCTCTTCCTTCTTTTCAGCTTGTCATGCATGAACCATGATCAATCTTAGTCATCCTAGCAATATAACTTGACATTTTGGTCACTTAAAAGAGTTCACTTTATGAACATTTCCACAACTAAGTGATGTCATCACAAAGACCTAAATTGGATGTTGATCGAGTGCAGAGTGCATGTTTGTGTTTGTGTGTAATAAAGATTTTTGACCCAAATCAAGCCCAGTGTTCTACCTACTATTAACTTAAACTTTGGGCTAAATCAATCTTCGTAAACAAAACCCTAAAAAATTTGTGTTTGATGGCTTGTCGTTCTCTTGAACTACATACATATCATTATCGTTTTTAGGCTACTTACCGATCCGTCTTTGTGGTTGTCATTATTGAATAATTAGGGTTTATCCCTAAACAAATAGATCCAACCTTTAGCAAATATTCTTAAAATTCATCGACTTAGCATGCGCTCAAAGGAGTCTTATGGATTTGCTACTTAAATTGCATGCCAATTTCATGCTTTTCCTAGATTTCAACTCGATCTTCTTTTCACTATCATACAATGCAATGGAATTGTGCCCTCTCACATGGATGGAGTCACATCTTTTTCATCTTACATTTTTTCCTTGAGTTGGTAGGGCTAGGTGGCATTTCTTGGCAACACATCAGCATGCAAGTGACACGGTCGAGAAGGAATGACACAATGATCGATGGATGATTGGAATTGATTGATCAATGTTGATAGGAACAAAAATAGGATTATCCACGTTGAGTGCGAGGAGATTTAGGGTCACTTCTTCTCATTGGAATCCAACAACCCAGGGAAACAGAGTCATGGATACGCGATAAGATTGGGCGGACCAAGTGGGTGGCCATGCCCACCTTCACGTGGCACGGTCACGTGTTTGATGGAGATGACGCATCCATGGGTGCGAATGGGCGAAGCAGATAAGGTTTGACGTCCAAAGGAGAATACCAACCAACCATGAAGAAAGACCAATAAAGACAATGACCCAATTCACAAGTCCAATGCGAAGATAATACGAGCCACTATCAACTCTAATTGCTAAAAGAAATATTTACTCCTAACACATGCATAATTGGTGGGTCAAAATTAGATAGTACATTCCGGTGGAAAGTAGCAGAGCCTAGAAGGAGCTTTCTTTCATCTATTAGACAAAAACAAAAAACAAAAAAACAAAAACAAAATCAATGTACATGAAAGCGTGGATTAAATTAGACGAAAATTTTGACACGTGACGAGAAAACAAAAAAAGGACATGAATAAATCGGATCCGGTCACGCCCTTCTACTAAACATCTGTCCCCATCTATGACTGTGTCGGCGGCTATGATTTTTCTAAGCCGCCATTAGTCAAATGATATTTGAAGGTTTCAAACTCACCTCTCGCCAGAAAAAAGAAGAAGAAGGATTAGCCTGCAGCAGAGTCGGTTGTTGGTACTTCCACCCCGACGATTCATAAATTTATAATAAATTTTCATGAATGGATAAATCTCTTAACATAATTTTACATTTTGCATCAAACACAACCAGTCAAAAAACAAAAAAAACAGACAAAATAAATCAACAAAATTTATTGCATAAGTGCCATAAAATTCAAAAAAAAAAAAAGGGATCAATTTTACCCATCCAATTGGATACCAAATTCCAAACGTGGCTCCAGCAAGTATAGTTCCAAGCATTGTGAACATTTGTCGTTTTCTTTTTCTTTTTCCTTTTTTTTATGCTAAAATCTCAAATAAAAACAGGAAAACTCAACAAACAAAGGGTTCCATCAATCAATCCCGTTGTGACTCGGACCGGTGTAGACAACTGGAGTCGGCTCGGCCGTCAAAGAGCAGCGGGTTTGCTTTCCGAACAAGAAAGAGACCACCCAATCGGTGAGAAAGAAGCTTTGGGACGAGAAAAGAATATCCAAACAGAAGTCGTCATCATCAAACACGAGACGACCAGATGCAATGCACCCGCACGCACGGATGCAGTGCAGGGGTTTTCTCTTGGGCGTCGGCAGTGACATCACGACAAGTCGCCTCTGCCCCACGAGACGCCCGTATTGTTCGGCGATTTCTACATGCGTTCATTGCAGTCGCAATGAACTGTCCCCCACTCTCTTCCCCCTCCAATATTTATCTTCTTCGGGTTCAATGGATCCATCCGTCATCCGGTGTTCTCACTTCAACCCGACCTCACTTAAAAAAGAGCATTAAAGGCAGATGCATCCAATCGCATCGCCGCTCCCTCCCTCCAATAACGTCGACCTCATTAACATCATCGATTACAATCCCATCTTGTCGACATACCTCTACGTTTTCAGAAGTTATCATTGTAGAAACCATCACCCTTAATTGTAACGATAAGAACATTCTCAAAAAAAGACTCGTCGTTAGCACCTCTCTGACAAAAAAAATATATAAAAAACAAGGAAGAAAAAATATCGAGCTTATAGAAATGAGCGCCTATAAAATAACAATTTCTGATTAAAAGAATCAAATCGTACGGCCAAACGAATTCTCCAATCAAAAAGGTTTTAGAATTCCAGCCTAGCCAAAATAAAAGCATATTTATATTAAATATGACTCAAAAACTTATGGAATAAAAAACAAATTATTTAAATAAAATACTTTTTGTATACTATATAAGTTTCCTCCACAAACAAACTGGCAGCAACACAGGCAGGTTTCAGTGGACACGAGCACAACAGTATCCATTTTGACCAACGTGGGTCGACCGCCTCTGACCAAACGCACACACGAAGGTTCCCGGATCCTACTTGTGGTCCCTGGGCCCACCGAAAAACGCAGACCCTTCGCTATATATAGAACTCGCTCCACGACCAAGAAATCCTCACAACCACTAGAGATCTTCATGTATAAACATACATAAAGCAACGAGGGAGAGAGAGATCAGGAGGAAGATAGAGAGCTTACTTTTGGCTTCCAGTTGAGCGAAGACACACTTACCATTAGTTAGTCCAGCGGAGAAGACGACCATGGGGAGGACAAGAGACGCCGAAGCGGAGCTCAATTTGCCGCCGGGGTTCCGGTTCCACCCCACAGACGAGGAGCTCGTTGTGCACTATCTCTGCCGCAAGACCGCCTGCCAGTGCCAGCCTGTGCCCATCATCGCCGAGATCGATCTCTACAAGTACGAGCCTTGGGAACTTCCAGGTACTGCACACATGAAATAATAGAGGAAACAGTTCATGTTACACTATCTACTGCGCAATATGAAACCTTGACATGGCTGTAATGCTTGTGCTGTGAGCAGATAAGGCGTTGTTTGGGAACAGAGAGTGGTACTTCTTCACCCCTCGTGACCGCAAGTACCCGAATGGGTCGAGGCCAAACAGGGCTGCCGGTAAGGGATACTGGAAGGCAACTGGTGCTGATAAGCCGATCTCACCAAAGGGCAGCAACAGGACTGTTGGGATCAAGAAAGCTTTGGTGTTTTACTCCGGCAAGGCACCGAAAGGAGTGAAGACAGATTGGATCATGCATGAATACAGGTTGGCTGACGTGAACCGCAGCGCCAACAAGGGAAGCCTACGGGTATGCAGCGAATGATAACATACAATCTCCTCAAAAGGTGCATGTAATTAATTATATAGTGCTGACGAAACAATTCTTTGGATTCATGCAGTTGGATAACTGGGTTCTTTGCCGGCTATACAACAAGAAGAATACCTGGGAGAAGACGAAGATGCAGAAACAGGAGGAGACATCCTTTGGAGAGACCATGCAATCAGTGGATGATGCACTGTCCGACAGCTTCAGGACACCAGAATCAGATGTAGAAAATGAGGTCGTGTTGCCAGATTTTGATGATCTAGGCTACCTATCCCAAGCTTCTACTGGAGTGCAAGCATTGAGCGCCTGCAAAACAGCTGCACATCAGATGATCGAGAAGAGTCAGAAAGAAGACAGTGAGTGGTTTATGGACTTGAAACTAGATGATTTGCAGAGCTCCTACACCAACTTCGGATCAACACCCATTTCAGATGCAACGAACCAAGATTACTACTTCCAATCCTTTGTATCTCCATTGCTGAGGCCAAATCATACCAACATGCGACAGTTCTGAATTGGATCAATGTAAATAGCTTAGCAGAATACGACAATGTAGTAGTTAGTAGATCAAAGATCTGTTATATCCAAACATTGTTTCATCATTCAGTATAGGAGGCTGTTACAAGTTGGTGACTGAATTCAATCTAAATTTGGTTTGAGAAACTACTTACTTTTTCTGATAGGAGCGTCTAATGACAGGTTTAAGGTTTAGTGATGCAACTATTTTCAAATTCAGATGGAAAAAAAATTAAGTGGCACTTTTTATTCGGTGAAGCAACTATAGATTACAAACACTTAGCATAGGTTGAAAAGCAACTATTTCCTTACTCAGATGGAAAAACATAAGCAGTATATTCTATCACTAAAGATTTGATCCAGCCAAAGATTTTCAACATTGAAGACTACAAACACATCAAATAAGAAGTAAAAAAACCTTTGTTAAAACTTAACAAAGATGCATGTTACATGACTAAGTGTAATCAGTGCTGCATTGTCAAGATTTTTCTTTCAGACCTCCACGAACATGGCACTGGATCTCTCATACAGTGCCACCTATCTAATGAATAAAAGGTGTCAGGCATCCTATGCACATCAAAAAGTCATCTGAATGAAATGAAAGAAAATAAAAGCATAGGCAGGTAGCAGCAGATAAATAAAGGGACACTGGTTAAGCAATCCATTAGTTTCTCTATTGCTTGAGACACAGAAAAAGAATATATCTTGTATGCTCCATGGATCATTCACTAATATATATATATACATATCTCAACAAACCTGAACACTGTGCTAAGCTACAAAAATTATAAAACAAGTTTGTTCACTAGCATTTTTTCTATTCATATGTTTGCTATATTTTATGTTAATTTCTTAGTTTTTTCTTAATTCATGCTAGGGAACAAACTTGTATTACAATTTTTGTGGCTTAGCACAGTTCAGACTTGTTGATATATATGTACATATATACATGTACATGTATATATGTACATATATATATATATATATATCAACAAACCTGAACACTGTGTTAAGCTACAAAAATTATAATACAAGTTTGTTCTCTAACATGAATTAAGAAAATGCTAAGAAATTAACAATAAAAGGTAGAAAATATATGAATAACAAAATTAAATGCTCGATTATCTTCTAATATTTTAAACATAAAAGAAATACAAATTTCATGGTTGATATGAATCTCATCAAATCATGTCTTTGAAAACCTAATTAAAAATATCAAGACAAATTGACAAAGCATTCCTGCTTTGGGCAAAAACAGTGGTCACACATAATTAAAGGCATAATTGATCCCAGTTATATCTATTTTCTGATGATGTATGTTCAAATATCATAACATCATGAAAGTCAGATAGCAATTATCCATAGCAACTGTACTCATTCCCCCAGCTGTACTGCTTGCAAGGATATGTTGATTCTAATTAATTCTTCCACATGATTCAGTACAACTACTAGTTACAACTACACCACTAGACATAAGTAATCATAGAAAACTTTATACTTTCAGGAGCTAAAAAGTATCACTTCTTTATAGCCTGCAAATGCATAAGAAACAAATCATAATTAGCCAAACATCTCGAGGTTATCTTGCAACAAAAGGAGCAACACCACCAATGAGGGAAAACAGCTTTGGCACCTTCACCAAAGTACTAATATTTCTGCCTTTTGGCCCCGTTGCAAACAGAAATAAGGCTACAAGTACTTCATTTGAAACTAAAGCATAAAGAAAAGCAATCGATGTAATTCGACACCCTGCTTCGAAACAGTCAGTTTTAAACACTACCTACCTCTTCCTCTTTTGCCGCAAAAACCACATATATAGACTATAGAGAATAAACCAAAACTAAATTTTTGACAGTAATAAAAATTCCAGATTGAGTGAAGAAAGCTGCAAGACCCAAATGCAAGTGCTAGACAGAGTTAGGAAAGGGACACGGTGGTGGATCTCACGCAATGCTACTGGTGAACACCACAACCACTGGTTAAACCCTCCATCCAAGACCCACTGACACCACCATTAAATGGACCAGCCTATTGCATCTTTCTCCTAACACAGCCAACTCCTTCAGTGGCTGTTTATGTAACTGATTCATGTTCATCACCTAGTTGTTGTTGCGATTATCACTATCTATGTCCTCAAATCAAGAAGCTCCATTTGACCTATAATAGGAGGTCATAAAGTACCTTATCATCATCACTGCCACCAATAGCAGACCCTCTTTCACCTTCACCTCTTCCTCACCATGAGCAAAATTTTAGTTAAAAGCACTCCAAATACACTGCTTTATACTAACTAATCAACTATATCCGTGAGCAAAGATTTCCTCAATTTTGCTTGATAGCCCATGATTGCTCATCAGATTGAATAAAACCTTGATGGGACAGTTGATGACCTCTTACCTGATAGACTGTCATTGTTTGTTAGAAATGCTGTTAATATAGACAGGATGAACACTTACACTATCAAGAATATCGGAGATGACAATGTTTGTGTCCAATATGTGCCAAAGAGACAGCAAGATGCATCTAGATTGAGAAGAAAAATTACCTAATCAAAAGGGTTTCTGATGTTCCTCTGCCAAGCTATTCAGATTGAGAAGAACAATTACCAAATCAGAATGGTTTCTGATGTTCCTCTACCAAATTATTATAAAGGTACTGTTAGTCCTTGTCATGGATGGAAAAAGAAAGCTTCAGTACTAGAGGATAGGCCACGCCCACTGGAAACTTTGATGCATATGGACAATGTGATTCATTGGGATCTTAATTGAGGGGAAACCTATTGATCATCAGATGCTGATCTCAATTCAGAGCCTTAAATTAAGTTCAGTAGCAGAGTATGCCTTATGTTTTGTAGAAGTTTTATTTACTTTAGATGATGTATGGTTGAGATTCTAAAAATCTTAGGCCAATTAGGAGTTGATAAGCTATCTCATTTCAGGGCACAAAAGTTAAAATCCATGTCAAATATAACGTAAGCTGAGGATCCCTTTTGGGGGGTATTCAACCAAGATTAAATGAAATGACAAGCACTAGTCCATAAATGATGTGCAATATGTTCCTACATGGATGGAAGTTCATTTGAACATATGGAGGACTCTTCCCTCCACTTCCTTACTTTCCGGTTATCATTTGTGTTTCAGTAAGAATTTATAATGAGTCAACTGACTTGTACACCCTAGTTAGGATGGAAGAACAAGTATTGAAGACTTCTTATCTCTCTCCAGCTAACTGGTGCACTTCTCTTTTCTCATCTAATTCTTTGTTCTACTCCTTACTGCATATTTCATCTCAGTTTTCTGAATTTTCATTAAATTCTTTACTGTTGCCACTAAAGCATCAGATTTTCTTCTTACACATCATTTATTTCGATTAAAAATATCATCAAGCTTTGTTTTGTTTTTTTCTTTCAACATTGTTTTACCCTCACAATAACAATCAATTTTCAGATTTATATTCTTGATCCCTCCAAAAAAAAAATGCTGCCTTACATTCACTATCCATCAGTATCTCACATTGAAAAGAAACCTTGGATTTTCAATAATCCAAGAACATGAAACTTTTAGTAGAAGTTCACTCTATGATGGTTAAAGTAACCTTGTTAAAAAAATTATAGGTGTAGACCACCTGACATGGGCTTAAATATGGTGTAAAAGGAAGAGAACATACTTTGAGCAAAACAAAATGAAGAGCCAGATTCAAACTAAGTACGATATAACATCAAACCGGGCTAAATTTCTTCTCGGACCAGTGAATAAAATACTGCATGAGAAAACATTGTAGTCTAATTGCAAGAACTGATTTTCCAATGACTGAGAAACATAAAGGCTTAGGAACAGCCATTTTCTAGTTTTTTAGGACAGATAATAACTCAATCTGTGTTATTTAAAGCCCCACACATTAATGCTCCAGTTATATAATATAGAAAAGATAGGAAGCAAATTTCAAAAGATTGACAACTATTTGATGAGGCACCGATAGGTTATTTTTGGCAGCTAACAAAAGGGCCAATTACATATGCACACATTAACAACTAGAACAAGATTAGAATCCCCAAAAAAGATATAATTTCACTGAATAAAATAGCAAGGGGTTGTTCTTTACAATATGCATAGATAGAGAAACAGGAAACGAACCAATCTATAGAAGTACTGGAACAATGAATGGTTGAGGGACTGTTCCCTTAAATATATCGCAAGATACCCATCTAGCTCCTTCATCACGAATTCCAGAACAACCGGGCGGCTTCTTTAGCAGAGAATAAGTATCATCTCCTTAGCCTTCAGCTGCAGAAAAAAGCCCCACCTAATGTTGTCATAGTAATAGCGGAAGCATCCACCTAGACATGTCTCCTCAGTTCCAGGGCGGCATCCCGTTTAATTCATTTCTACAAAATGATAATTAGAACGCTTCTTCTGCATGCCTTACCTAGGATCGCATAACAGCTCATCACCGAGGAGAGATGTCTCTGTAAAATATCATCAAACAGGTGACCTGCATGAAACATTCAACGTTCTTCACCAAACAGAGAACACGCACAAGACCATGGAATTCACAAATCTCCGCCACGGAACCAAGTCGCTCGAGCACATAGAAGTAGCCGATCGCCCCTCCCATCATCGGAGAAACCACATGTACCCACGAACCGAGTTGACAAACCGCCGCCGGCCGATCAGCACACCTGCTTTCGCAACTGCAATCTCGCGAGGGATCCCAAGAAAGGGTGGAGAAGAGTGCTCCGGATCTGGAGATATTGGTGGAGAAGGTGGAACCAACCAGAGGACTCCACAGAGCTCCCAAGAAAACGGCCCGTGATTCGACAGGTGTCATCAATTCGGGCTTGGAACGAACCAACTCGATTCCGTTGGTGACCTTACCAGAGAACCCAATACACTCCAATTCCATGACATGTCTCCAAGTAATTGTTCCCTTAGGCTCCGACCGGAGCTCAAATTAGGCTCGCCATCCTCTCCAATTTATAGGAAGGGATGGAATCATCTCAGCCGTCCATCTACCTGCAGGTTGATGATCCAAGTTGCATAACTTCTGAGTGTCTTTTATGGAAAGAATAATTGAATATTTTCTGCCTTATATCACTCGAACACAGCCTCCGTTTCATCAACACATGCTCTCCCTCTTTCGGCCCATTGTAAAAGCTGCCGGAATCTCATTCTCCAGAGGATTACATGAGTCTGCATGACAAATACAAGTCAGAGATGGCATCACAAAGTTCAAATCCTGCGTGACTTCCACCAACAATCTCATAGCAATCCTTAAACAATGACTAAGAGCCTATTAAAATATTACTGTTCACGTAAGCTTCTTGGGCCTCTCACACCTTTTGTGTTCATCGTCTTTCCTCTAAATATAGAGCGAGTTCCATTAGGAGTTGCTTTGCGGCAAAGTCGAGGGTTCATCCTGCACCGAGAAAGATTGACGATGAAGAGGTTGCGACGACGACGACGAACTCTCCGTCGGTGTGGACAGTGTGGAAGAAGTCGAGCATGGGCTTCCATGGAACAGATGGGTTCTCGATTTATGATGGCATGGGAAGATTGTCGTTTCGGCTCGACAATTACTCGAGGAAGCGCAAGTGCTTTGCGGGAGAGCTTCTGCTCATGGATGGAAATGGGAAGGCTGTCGTGACTCTGAGGCCTCAGGTATGTGTGCTTTCTTCTACCTCATATTTCTCTCTCTCTCTCTCTCTCTCTCTCTCTCCCCGCTTCGTTATCTAACTGTGTGTATCACGTGTCTGGCAGATCTTGAGCATGTAGGACAGATGGAGTGGGTTCAGAGGTGAAGATGGCCGGGAAACAGATTGCAGATCAACTCATGTCTTCGACATCCGGAGGCGATCGGTCCTTCAAAGTTGCGATGAGACCGAGGTGCTCATGGACAGTACTCCAGACCACAAACTCCCAGATTTCAGAACCGAAGGATGTTTCAGAAGAAGAAACTGCAAGATCATGGACAGGAATGGCGATGAAGTGACACGAATAAGCCGCAACAAGGAGAACTATTCGGTCGCACCCAGAGACCACGTCTTCAGCTTGATCATTCAGCCTAACAAGGAGAGTGAGCTGATGGCGGCTTTTCTGGTCCTCATGGATCGCATCTGTACTTAGAAGCATGTTGCTGTAACATGGCTCTTCTCCATGAGTGTGTCTGAGTTCATATTGAAAATTTTTAGCTATGTTAATGTGCAGTCGCCAACAAAGTGCCAGTGCTGCAAAAAGTCCATCTAATGTTCGAAAACATTAGAAGAATCTTAATCACATGATGCTTCCATGTAGATGTTTCTTAGTGGGGAGGGAGAGTTCTGAAAGAAGTACTATACAGCTAATTGGAAAAGTTCACGAAGCACTAAATAGAAGGAGAGTGTCAAGAAGTGACAGATTACTGACGAGGAATATGGGAAGAAACAGCTAATTCAGATGCCTTCAAAAGGGCCAAATGCAAGTTTTGCCTTTCATATAAATAATATATTCACACACAGAGAAGTAGTCGATGATGCCTAAGAACTGAGAACATTTGAGCAACCAACCACATCAAGCAAGCAGTTCTTCCTTATATACGGGTCTTCACAGTTCTTCCAGTTCTTGGTGATTGCCACATTAGTGTCGTTGAGCGTTCCTTATGCTCTCCACCTCATTTCTCTACTAGCATACTAATCCCTTGCGCAGATCAATGTGAGTTTAGAACTTGATGTGATGACAGTCGGGTGCGCAGAGTGTCACCGTTGGCCTTTGGTGGATCATGCACCAACAGGTGACATGCATGGGGGATGATATATGGAGACACTGCTTTCTATCCATACACCCACTTCCGATCTCATGCTGATAGGTGTTGACCTTACATGACTGCGATGTGACTCAGCTGCCACTTTGCAATTGCCTGCTTGAGTCAATGAGCAAGCTCTCTTGGAGAATGTCAACATGCATGCTTTTTAGATCAAGAAAAATACACCGGACACAGTGGGGCGGGCAATGTCAGGCAACTCACAACTTCATCCACTTGGTAAAGAGAACAACTTTGGTTTCTGTGATTGTTATTGGTCAGCAGGTGATAGGGTTTACTGTATTATAGAAATCTTCTTGGCTAATATGGTCTCCTGCTGACTTTGACGTGCGTCCCATCACATCACCTACAAAGATTTTTTAGATGATTTCTGACTTTTTATCTTCCATGAAATCATTTCGACCGATTCCCACATCGCTAGTGTTGTTTTTGTATTGGCTTGCTTTGACAGCAAGTTTGTGTCAGCACACAGCTATTTGTTGCCATAGGACAGGTTAATCTTCACTTGGCTCTCAGAGTGAGATTAGCCAACCTGGTTTTGTCAGTTAGTACTTTGTGGAGTCATTTTCAAAGGATATTTCAATTGGTTTATCAAAGATTACATGTCAAAATTGCTGCTTGATGGTATGCTAATGTTTCTTCTGAAATATTCTTATGCTGTGGGGGCCAACTCAGTCGGAATGCATGGCCAACTTGCAATGTGGTTTACCTTAACCACTGATTACAATACTGACCTTGTTAGTTTTGGATTATATGCCACTGGTGGAGGAAAGAAGGATCACCGGTGGCCGACATGCATCGTCACCGTCGTTATCATCTCCTTCCGCCAGCCATATTCCATCAATTCATTCGTACCGGAACCCGAAGAGTTCCATCGCCAAACACACACAACGAAGTTAAAAACTAACAGCAATCTTCTGATGCAGTAAATCGATGGATAACCCTACCGAGATCGACATGCTTGGGAATCTTCTCATCGCCATCCTGTAGAGAACTGCCATGAAAGCTACCACACAAACCCTCGTACGTCTCTGATAGAAAACATCTTGACATTTGAGTTGAGTCACACTCAAAAGCCATTACTCATTATATTCTGTATACCTTCGATAACGCAACATGCATGGTTTTCCAATGCATTCCATTATTGCTTTTCGCACCATGAAAGCAGTCTCTGTTCCTCCCTCAGATCGTTCGAAGAAGCTTAAAAACTTGATGATGAGAGGGAGTACCATCTTTATACAAGAATCTCTTGAAGGTTGACGTACGTTTGTGATGGGTGTTTCACATTATCGGAGTTGACTTCTTCTTCTTTATAGCTTGCTTCCGACAGCTTATTTAGATCTCTTAGATCTCTGTTAAAACTCCATGAACTCCAGTAAAATTTTACTTGTTTCAGATAAAAACCGGTCAACTTAAGGAACAAAACACAAAGCTACGGTGTCACATGTGATATCAATGGTCAACGCTACAATATTCCATTATTTGGTCCATCAATAAAAATAAAAGAGCAAGCAGGATTAATCTATTTTACTATGATTATATCATAATAAAATTCTACTAGGTTAATCTCTTGAAGGTTAGATGAACTATCATCCACAACGATCATGTTCTCCAAAGCTCTAGCTTGCAAGCCAAATCATCACAAATGAGCAAAACACTCTACGATACTTCAATTCTTTTCTTTAAACTGTAAGCCTAAATTTTCTTTATCCGATATAAAATTTCATCTTTTTGTCGCCCACACTACAACACAAGTATTGTGATTTTGTATAACCAGAGTTATAAATATCTAATAAGATAATGTATATATTTTTTCTATCATAAGATCACTCAATCTTACGTTGGAGATGAAAATAATTTATTTTTGCGGTTATCATACGTAAGGTAAAATAGTATATTACTATAGTTGTCCTCCGTAGGAACAGTTCATCGAGGATCGAGGGATGGCTCAAAAGTGCAGGTCTACGGCTTCAGAGGCCACACAACCATTGCAAGCTCATCTCATCTTCGTGCCTTCTTCGACTGGCCACCACAAGAGCGCTGCTTGGCCTTGTACCCAAAACCATGAGCTGGGTTTCATGTGTGAGTGTCTCCCGAGAAGGAGGTGCACCCATCTGATGCAGGGCCAGGGTTGTGAGCCCTGACCATCTCCCCATGCCCCTACCTTGCCATCTTGTTGGAGGACAAACAATGTGTCTGATTAGAACCCTTGTTTAAAGTTGTGTTAAAGGGAATCACTCCCATGGCCAAACCACATTGCCTGTCTCGTACTCTTGTCCCCTCAAAAGCGGATTACCAATGTACTTATGATTGGCATTTATTACCTTCTAACTTATCTATCCTTTTGGAACAAGTAGGGATAGGGTGGCACTGCTCAAAAAATAATTAAATAGCTAATATTTTTATGATCGTTATTTGATGGTTGTCAAGATCAAAATCGAATACAGTGTTTGATGACCCTCGAGATTATTTGATTTGCCAAGATCGAAAACACTATTAATATATAATTAGGAATAAATTAATAAGACCAAAGTTTAATTTAAATACTAACGTAATGCCCAAATGATCAATAATCTTGCATTGCATCGCGAAGATGATTTCCCTAAACCACTGTAATAAGTGTCCATGTTGCCATATGCAGTATCTTCTTAGTGTGCATGATGTCATAAACATTATCTTCTTAGTGTGTGTGTGTGTGTGTGCATCGATTGGAAGCTTAAGCTAACCCTCTCCTTGTTAGCAGTGACTACAGGATACGAGGTCTCGAAAGTGGCTGCAATAATTATGTCAAGAAAAGGAAAGGATTGCACTCCAATTTCATTGATGGTGTTCACCATGCCTTGGATGATGCACCTCGCATGCCTTCATGATGTGCATCAACACACCTCACCAACACCACCAGTGTCATTCTTCCAAGGCCCTTATCTAAATTCGAGTTGCATCAAAGGCGACATTATATATGCGACTTAATATACTTAAATTGTTCTCTTTTAATGTTAATTTTGTTAGTCAAGAAGCTCTTATCATACATAACTCGAATCTTAATTGTGTTATCAACAAAGGATGTGGAAATATCAATTTATTTGTTCTTTTATGTACTTCTCAAAAAGATCTATGAATCGAAGAAAGGTGATTAGCCCCAAAATTATAATTTCTTTGATTGCATGTTAACAAAACAGCCATACAATACATAATTAAAAAAGACACGACGCTAAACGTCCACTTAGATATCTCAAACATGCGGATTTATCTCATGTATATATTAGACATATTTGTTCTCATCTCTCATTTTAATAGCTCCAAAAATTCCGACCAACTACGACCTCCCAATCCCACCAAGCCGCCCAAAGACCAGCATTGCCCATTTAGTCTCTTTCGACGTGCCAAGTGTCACTCCATTTCACCACAAGCGCAAGTAAATTAAATACCTCAATTATTTGATGCTTAACACCGAGTTCAAAACATGTGCACTGCATATAAGCTGACAAAGAAGAACTAACGTTGTTAATTCGATTAAGTATGAAGATTTCAAAGCTTAAGAATGCTCGATGACAACAGCGATTAGGATTAGATAGGATAGATAATGGTGGAGCGTTTTGGTAAATGCTGTGGCTGTCTCGGGGCATTTTGGTCCATGCGGTGTGTATATATATGATCTCCTCCTTCGGCAAATGGCTGGACTAGAACAGGTATCACCGGATGACGAGGAAGGTCCACCCGAACGCCGCCGCTCCGGCTCGCGAGCCCCCGAGGATCGCCTCCTGTTGTGGCGGCGATGATGCGTGGGGGAAGGATAGCGCCGCGGTGTTGACGGTGTGGCGGAAGTCGCTGCTGTTCAGTTGCAGTGGGTTCACGGTCTTCGATGCCAAGGGCGACTTGGTGTTCCGAGTCGAAACCTACGGATCGGGGACCGCGGGGGAGCTCGTGCTCATGGATGCCGCCGGGAAGCCGTTGCTCACCCTGCGAAGAAAGGTACGTCCGAGTGGCTCAATGTGCTGCTAAGCGAAGAGTGAGTTGACTCGGTTACCCCGGTTTGAGTGCAGAGGCTGAGTCTCGGGGAGAACTGGCTAATCTACGACGGGGAGGACGCCGGTAACCCACTGTACTCCGTCAGGAAGCACGTGAACCTCCGGCGCTGCAAGGCCCTCGCGCATGTGACCCCTTGCGGCAGCGACGGCTGTGGAGGGTATGAGGTGGAGGGGTCGTACTCGCGGCGGAGCTGCACCGTCTTTGACGACCGGGGGCGCGCCGTGGCGGAGGTCCAGCAAAAGGAGGCCGTCGGCGGCGTGGCCTTCGGCGGAGAGGTCTTTCGGCTGGTGGTCCAGCCGGATATGAACGCGTGCCTCGCCATGGCCGTCCTCATCGTCCTCGATCAGATGTTCGGATCGAGATCCTAAGCTACCGATCATGGCCGTCAGACTCCTCTCTTCTCTTCCCGGCTCCTGCACCGGCTCAAAGGTCCTTTTTGTTCTTTTCTTTTTTGTGTGTAGAAAATTGGGCCATTTATTGAACCATAGTTTTGGGCTAACTAAAATGTAAATGTAAATAATTCCATTAAAATAAATGAAAATTTGGAATAAGCAGATTCTGACAGCACTGGAATTAACACTACATGATTATGATGTTCCCATGCTTTGAACACATATATCATTCTATATCTATATGTGGATGTGCAGCCATTGAGTCTGTACGATTCACTGAATTGCTGTGAGGCCTGTTTTTGTTGCTTTGATGAACACGGAAGCAAAGAAATCGAGGGGACAAATATAAGCAACGCTTAATTTGTGATGTAGTGACAAAAGATGTACCGTTTCATGTAAATTATAGTCTCCCAGTGATAATTGTTGCATGCACATATAGTAGGGTGAGCTGTTGAGGTACATGAAAAAACAGTGGTTGGGTTAGATGAAGGAAGAATACATCATTCATTTCAAGCTATCATAGACTACTTATTTGTGTTCTAAAATAAAACTCCATGAGAGGAAATATATCGGATCGATCCCAAGATACCTATATATATATGTATATCTTCACACTCCTCTTGCATTATAAATGTTATACAGATAGAATGGTGTTTTGGAATCAACCGAGCATGATAGGGGTTATAAGATTTGACCTGCAATCAGATCAACACAAACGCTGATGCAATCATTTGACAAATATAAATAAATATATCAGTTGCCATTATGACAAGATTTCAGCTGTCAAACTATGGATGGCAAGCAAACCATGGAACAGAAGGAGATGGATGCACAGATATCTATCTGATCAAGTCCCATGAACTCGTGGTTTTAGTGTACAAGGTTAGACAGCATCTGCATCATGACATGTTGAATCCATTGTTCTTTTGCATTCGGGAGACTACGTAGAAGCATCACTCGAAGGAGGCGTCTCAACTGCGTATACCCTTTCCAATGGAATATATTTATGATGGCCAACTTTTCTTGGCTGAGAGCATCCCTTTCATCCGTCGGTTGTGGACAGAGCAATCATAGTTATCAAACTGGACCGAACCGGCCGGTCCAATTGAAAGAACCATAAATCGGACGTCGGGTCTGTTCGGACTTTGTCATGTGTTTGCCACGTCACTCGTTCGGCCTGTCGATTTCGAAATTTAAACCTGTCGACCGTCGGGGGTCCGTTGGGCCTTCTACACATAAGAGGGGATTTGGAACGGCCCATCTCAACTTGCCACGCTCGAGCTTTTCAAACGACGCGATGCGGCGCCCTCTTTCCCCCCTCCTCTCAGATTCCTCCCCCTACTCACTCCCGATCTCGGCTGGCGAGCTATCACATAAGAGGAGGATTCTCGACCGAGATCCAGAACTGGAGGTTCGATCGTTTAAGGAGGAGGGGAAGGAGAAGTGGGTTTGGAGGGGTCCGTTATGGAGAAGTACGAGAAGCTGGAGAAGGTCGGGGAGGGGACGTACGGGAAGGTGTACAAGGCGAAGGACAAGGCCACGGGGCAGCTCGTCGCCCTCAAGAAGACCCGCCTCCAGATGGACGAGGAGGGCATCCCCCCCACTTCCCTCCGCGAGATCTCCCTCCTCCAGTTGCTCTCCCGCTCCATCTACATCGTTCGGTGCGCCGATCCCCCATCCCCGTCACTACCTGTTCCCTCCACTTTCGATCAATGACGGCTCATGTTTCGTTTCGTCCGAACTGATTGAATCGATCGCTTCCTTTTTTGATTCTTCTCTCTTGGGATCTCTTTTGGTGGTGTAGTTTGCTGAATGTGGAGCAAGTGAAGAAGAATAACAAGCCCATTCTCTATCTGGTGTTCGAGTATGTGGATACTGACCTCAAGAAGTTCATCGACTCCTATCGCAGGGGATCCAACCCCAGGCCGATCCCCTCCCCTGTCATTCAGGTGCTTGTCTTTGGACCTACGCGTTTCTTATTTTGAATTCCTTTAGTTTGAGAAAAATGGAGTTTGTGCGTCCTAGTTTATTGATCATACAGTGAATCAGTTAGGATTAATAGAATTTGGCTTTGGAAAACATGGATTTCTCGCTATTGAGTTGAATATTATGTCAAATTGTCTACAGTGAATCAGTAAGGATTCCTTCAGAGTAGCATTGTGCATACTACTGGAAAATAACCTTCTCTCTTTTGCATAGCAGAGCTTTTTGTATCAGTTATGTAAAGGAGTTGCACATTGTCATGGTCATGGAGTGCTTCACAGGTCTTTCTCTTTCTAGGTTCTCGTGTCTATATTTTGAAGGAATGTATATCATAAGCACCACGTATTTTACGCCCAATGTGATGCAATTGAAACAGGGATCTGAAGCCTCAAAATCTTCTTGTTGACAAAGAGAAGGGCATCTTGAAAATAGCCGATCTTGGGCTGGGAAGAGCCTTCACCATTCCTCTAAAGAGTTACACACACGAGGTCCTTAAGTACTTTGTCTATTTCCTTGTTTAGAAATGTGTTTCAACTCTATTTTCAGGTTTTCTAATTTGCTTTACTTTTACTTGAATTATGTGGTTAATTTCTTTATTTGTTTTGTTATGTAGATCGTAACGCTTTGGTATAGAGCTCCTGAGGTCTTGTTGGGAACAACCCACTACTCAACTGGAGTGGATATGTGGTCCATAGGATGTATATTTGGTACGATAAAAACATTTTGTTTAGTTCATTATGTGAAATATCTTCCTACTCAGGCTTTAGTAGAAAAATAAGGATCTCATTTGAGTTTTTTTATTTGGTTAATGCAGAAGTAGACTTTTCTGTTTCCATATAGCATTATGTCAAGAACCATGTAACTAGTGGTAACTACTTTGGGTGTTAGAAGTTATTGAACATTTGGTCGGTCGGCTATTGGTGTGGCTCGTAGGCTCGCGAGGAATTGTCCGCTTTGGGTGATGGGCATACCTGTAGGCTCGCAATTGGTGTGGCTCGTAAGCTTACAAGGAATTATCCATTTTGGGTGATAAGAGAGACTCGACGAATTTATGAGCCCTTAGTTCCCATACTCATCAACCAATGTATGACTAAATGACTTTATCAGTGCTCCCTTCCATAGGGGAGCCAAGGGCTCATAGCCGAAGTGCATGACTCAGGAGCGAGTTTGCTCGTCAATGTGACGGCCTCGGGCCCTCCTAGCGCCAATTTGATAAGGGACCATTTGGTTGACCAGCCATTGATATAGCCCTTAAGCTCGCGAGGAATTGTCAGTTTTGCATGATAGGCATACCCATACGGTTTTGCCCTTTCATAGCTCGTGAGCTCCAAATGGTGCCTCTGAGGGTAAGGGAGACCCGACGGACTTATGAATCCTTGGTTCCTATACTCCTAAACCAA